ATCATGCCATTTGCAAACAGAGACAGTTTTACTTCTTTTTGATTTGGATGCCTTTTTCTTCTTGTCTGATTGCTCTGACCAGGATTTCCAATACTATTATGTTGAATAGAAGTGGTTAGAGGGGACACCCTTCCTGATCTTAGAGGAAAAGCTTTCGGCCTTTTAGAGTTAAGTATGATGTTAGCTGTGGGTTTGTCACACATGGGTACGTTCTATATATGCCCAGTTTATTGAGACTTTTTATTATGAAAGGATGTTAAATTTTGTCAAAATTTTTTGCATTTGTTGAGATTATCATATAATTTTTATCCTTCATTTTTGTATCTCATTTATTGATATGTGTATGTTGAACCATCCTTGCATCCCAGGAATAAATCCCACTTGATCATGGTATATGATTCCATTAATGTACTGTTGAATTCAGTCTGCTAAAACTTTATTGAGTATTTTTGCATCTATATTCATCAGGGATGTTGGCCTCTAATTTTCTTGTAGTATCCTTGTCTGGCTTTGGTATCAGGGTAATATTGGCCTTATAAAATGAATTTGGAAGAATTCTCTATTTTTTGGAAGAGTTTGAAAAGGATTAATATTAATTCTTCTTTAAATGTTTGGTGTAACTTACCAGTGAAGTCATCTGGTCCTGGACTTTTTTTGTTGTTGGGAGGTTATCGATTACTGCTTCAACCTCCTTAGTCATGTTCAGATTTTCTACTTCTTCATGATTCAGTTTTGGTAAATTGCATGTTCCTAGGAATTTATCCATTTCTTCTAGGTTTTCTAATTTGTTGGTATATAATTGTTTGTAATAGTTTCTCGTGATCCTTAGTGTTTCTATATTATCAGTTGTAATGTCTCTTTTGAGTTTTTCTCTTAGTTTAGCTAAATGTTAATTTTGTTTCTTTTTCAAAAGAAAAACTGCTTAGTTTCATTGATCTTTTCTGTTATCTCTTTAGTCTCTAGTCTCTTTCCTATCTGTATCTATTTAGTCTCTTTTCTCTCTGATCTTTGTTATTTTCTTCCTCTTCTAACTTGGACTTAGGTTGTTCTTCTTTTCCTAGTTCCTTCAAGTGTAAAGTTAAGTTGTTTGAGGTTCTTCTTGCTTAATGTAGGTGTTTATCAATATAAACTTCCCTCTGGTTTTTGCTGTATCCCATAAGTTTTGGTCTGTAGTTTTTCTGTTTTCATTTGTCTCAGGATAGTTTTGATTTCCCTTTTGATTATGTCTTTGACTCATGTTTTGTTTAGTAGTGTGTTGTTAATCTCCACATACTTGTACATTTTCCAGTTTTATTGTAATTCAGTCTTCTTAAAGATATTAAGACTCTTTGTAGCCTAATATATGATCTTTCCTGGAGAATATTTCATGTGTACATGAGAAGAATGTGTATTCTGCTGCTGTTGGGTGGAATGTTCTGTATATGTCAGTTAGGTCTATCTGGTCCAATATGTCATTTAAGTGCAATGTTTCCATATTGACTTTCTGTCTGGATGATCTATCTATTGTTGACAATGTACTGAAGTCCCCTGCTATTACTGTATTGCTATCTATGTCTCCCTTCAGATCTGTTAATGTTTGCTTTATATATTTAGGTGCTCTGATGTTGGGTGTATAAGTATTTATATTTGTTATATCTTCTTGATGAATTGACTCCTTTATTATTATATAATGACCTTTCTACTACTGGGAATTTTTATCTTAAAGTCTACTTTGTTTCATACAAGTAGAGCAGCTACCCCTGCTTTCTTTTGATTTCCATTTGTATGGAATATATTTTCCATCCTTTCACTCTCAATCTGTGTGTGTCCTTAAAACTGAAGTGATTCTCTTATACGCAATATTGGGTCTTGTTTGTTTGTTTTGTTTTTATCCATTCAGCTAACCTATATTTGTCTAAACTTAGTCCATTTACAATTAAAGTAATTATTGATCGGTAAGGACTTACTAGTGCCGTTTTGTTCATTGTTTTCTGGCTGTTTATTCCTTTCTCTCCTTTATTCCTTTCTCTCTTTCTCTCTTGCTTTATGATTAGATGATTTTATATAGCAGTATGCTTTGATTTCTTTCTCTTTCTCTTTTGTGTATCTGTTAGAGGCTTGTGCCTTGTGGATACCCTGAGGCCTACCTAAAACATCCAGAACCTGAATTAATTATATGGCTGGACAGTTAGATGAAAGAAGGATCTGGTGGGGACAGAAGATAACTTGCATCCAGTCTGATTAGTTGGAAAGAAACAGAAGTGAGGATCAGTGTTGCTACAAAGACAAGTAGGCATCAAAAGCACCTCCGGATCCCCAGCACCCTCCTTCACCACATACAGCTGTCTCTGAAAGGCAATTACTGGTGCTACTGGCAGCTTCCTTGGGAGAGAAAGGGAGGCCCTGGCCACCTCAACGTGAGAACTGATCCCACCAATAGGAAAATTATTACTCTTATTACTAGGAAAATTGAAATTACTATTACTATCATTCAGACGGCTGGTGTTTGCCAAACTTGCACACCCTAAGCCTGCTAAGAGTAGCACAATGATACAAGCAGACTAAAGGAAACTTGGTTTTCTTAAACAATACTAAATTATTACGACTAGCAGACAGTTTTAAAGGAGAGTAAGAGATTATAATTAGATATGGAGCAGCCTGTGGTATGCTAATTGCTAAACGAGTGAGATGTCACCGACATGTTTTCTCCCAAAGGTGTTTATTTTGTTAAAATATTTTTGGAAGAAAATTCGACAGAGGTTGATCCTCCTGTTTATCTTTTATCTTTACAATTTCATGGATTTTTGTTAAGGTTTTTTCAGTGATACCATTTCCAGACTGAAGATGATTGTAAGATGTAAGTTACTAGCTTATTACACTGAATTACAGTTTCTAATTAGAAAATAGTGTTGTGTTTATTAAATATAACTATGACGGGGCGCCTGGGTGGCGCAGTCGGTTAAGCGTCCAACTTCAGCCAGGTCATGATCTCGCGGTCCGTGAGTTCGAGCCCCACGTCAGGCTCTGGGCTGATGGCTCAGAGCCTGGAGCCTGTTTCCGATTCTGTGTCTCCTTCTCTCTCTGCCCCTCCCCCGTTCATGCTCTGTCTCTCTCTGTCCCAAAAATAAATAAACGCTGAAAAAAAAATTAAAAAAAAAATATAACTATGCCTAGCAGGCATTTTTGCTAGCAGTGACGAGGTCCACAGAGTACTGAGACTCCTTTCTTAGTCTACCACTCATTGTACCAAGATTCCTTGAAAGAAGGGATCTACCTACATTTTTTTTTCTGTTTACTTTTAGTAAAACCTTGATTGATCTGAACCTAGACTATGGTTAATTTAATTTAGAACTGCTCCTGTGTTTTAATCCATGTTACCGATGATTTTTGGTAATAATTTTATATGAGGAGAGACAAATGGTTGAGCCTTTTTCAGACTGAGGTTCTTTTCGATACATTTGAGTCATTTTAAATGTGACTTCTCATTGATATCTTAGAGGTATAAAGCATTGGAAATTTGATAAATGATACTATTTCCCAGGTTACACCTAAAAATGTTTTCTTCTAACCAAGACCCTCCTAGAAGTTTATTTATTTTTGAAAGAGAGAGACAGACAGAGCAAGGGGGGGAGGGGCAGAGAGAGAATCCCAAGCAGGCTCCACATTGTCAGCACAGAGCCCAATGTGGGGCTCAAACTTAAAAACTGTGAGATCATGACCTGAGCCGAAACCAATGGCTGGACACTTAACTGACTGAGCCCCCCAGGCATTCCTGCTCATAGAAGTTTTGTCTAATCATCTGCTTCTTTTGGATGGGTAGATAGATGGATAGAGAAAATTCTTAAAGCAAATTAGTATTCTGATTATTGTTATTTTCCAATTAATCAAAGTTTGGGAACTTGCACTATAGTTAGAAATTGATATTGCTGCTTTATATCTGTGTTCTTCTTCACACTACGTTTTCCACACATTACCTGTAAGAAACATTCCTGGTCACTCATGAAAAGCAACGAGCCCCAAATCCCTCAGAATTACTAAAGAATTCTTCATGGAGAATTTTAAGTGGACAATATTAAAAACAAAACGGCATATGGAAATTGTCATGGTTCTAGATCTAGGTGTGACTAGTTTGGCATTTTTGTTGTTTTTGTTTTATTCTTCGTGTCACTCACATAAGAATTTTTTAATGCATTTTCTCCCCTGCATCATATGCATCTAGAATCCTTCACATGTAAACTGAAAATAGAAGATGTCCAGGTACCAGGCCCTTAATCGCCCTTTCCCATGCAGAAATCTCATTACTTCTGGATGGGCCCTGCCTGCTTGCAGATCCCCGTGCAGTTTCGCCTACCATCCACTTGCATTGCTGAAGGCTCTTTTACACTCTCACCTGTTTGCAGAGTAGCACGTTAAGGCTGACTGGCAGGGAAAATACGTCCCTGTAGGCTTGCCTCAGACATCTTGCTTCTGCCCACGGTGGTACATTTTCAGATGAACTCATCGTTAAAGAACTCTAGTCACAGATTTTTTTCTGACATAAAACTCAAAGTTTCAGTAGAACTGGAAAACCACGAACTGTCATAATTCTCATGGAAAGGCATTTGTGAAGTGAAAGATCTGTAATAAGCAACGGGATGCCATTTTGTGATTTTCCTTCCCCCTGGGAAGTTTCATGAAAGGTTCATTAAATATATAATTTCAAGAATATCTCTTTAGTTTCTGAGACAATTCTCCTAAAGATACTTTTTAAAAATTACTTTTTGGGGCGCCTGGGTGGCGCAGTCGGTTAAGCGTCCGACTTCAGCCAGGTCACAATCTCGCGGTCCGTGAGTTCGAGCCCCGCGTCAGGCTCTGGGCTGATGGCTCAGAGCCTGGAGCCTGTTTCCGATTCTGTGTCTCCCTCTCTCGCTGCCCCTCCCCCGTTCGTGCTCTGTCTCTCTCTGTCCCAAAAATAAATAAAAAACGTTGAAAAAAAATTTTTTTTAAATTACTTTTTCTGATAAGCTGTTGTTAAATTTTAGGGACATCCCTGTGGATTTCAAGTACATAGCAGAGCCTAGTATGCACTCAATGCCTGCAGTGACTTTGTCTCCAAATGGTGAGTCAGTAGGTAGAATGTGGTTTTAATGTGTTTTATGAGCCTCTAAGACAAAGTGTGATTTCTGTCTTCAGAAGAACTTTGGCCATTCCCTCCTAGGGCAAGTCTGTCACAGGGTCGTACTTGTATAAGGAAACGTTTTCAAAATTGGAAATAATCACTGGTTTTCATAAGTGAGTCACTTCACCCATTCTCTTGTTTTTTTATACATAAATAAATAAGCAAGCAAGCAAACAAACTGAATTCTAGCTAACACTGAGCATCTTAAGGATTTCTATCTGAGGATCGGGTTTTGTTTTTGTTTTTTTGAGAATTCTCCTTCCGACAGAACCGTGTTCAGTCATTTAGTGATTTACTGTGAGTTCTTTCTCTTTCAAGGGATAGAAAATTTTGATCTGGTTCCCCATAATAAAAATACTTTCGTAATTTACCATAAAAGATTTTCTCAGGCAAAATAAAAAAGATAAATCCGTCTAATACTATTTTCTATTCAATAATGCATTGCCTTTTAAGTATAAGGTAATTTGCACTACAGAGATACTGTGACAGTTTACTGATATAATTATAGCTCTCCATGAGCTATAGAGGATCTGATGTTTGGGCAACACTCATCAAATCACTGTTAACTCACATAGCTCCTGTGAATGTAGAGCAAGGAAGAAGAAAGAGGCAAGAAACAGTTTTTGCTTCCATCAAGGAGTCTGCCACAGGCAAATCAGTGATCACTTCTGTCAAATGCCCTATGATTTTTATGAGAAGAGCAACCTAACTGGGTTCTGCTTTGATAATCATATTGTATACTTGTCACATTTGTCACCCTGTGTCTACATTTTATGTATGCATTTTTAAACTATCCATCACAGATATCGTGCCCTGAACAAGGCTATTTACCCTCTCAGACTGAATACTGTTAAGAGCATTTCCTTAGTTAATAATGTCTGCAAGTTCCCTAGGATGCAAAAAGATAGGCTCTCGAGGCTTTGGTGAGTCTTGGGTAGATAAAAGCAACTTGGCCTTCCAATACAGTTTCTATAATTGTTTAGGGATACATCTTTTTTGAATAATTTTATTTAATAATCCTAGGTTTTCTCACCAAGAGGTAATCTTTCCTTTTCCCGTAATTAACATAGGTAAATCTCTTTTCCTCCATGGTTCTGTTGGACTTAGTCCAAGTTAATTTTATTTAATAAAATTTTACTTGAGTTCTGTTAATGCTAAACTCAGAATTTCTGTGTATCCTTATATAGGCAAAAAGAAGCTTTTATATGGAGAGTACTTAATGATACGGGATTATATGCACAAAATCCATTACTTTATACATAAATCCCTCTTGTCAGCAACACATTTGTAATACCTTACAGACAGTATAGTAAATTCATTTTCCTATTGTTGTAAAGTGGTTGGTAACAAGAGAATATTAATGTCTGAACATATTTAAAATAAAGTCTTTTTAGAATTTCTGGTCTTGGCTCTAAAATGTCCCATTTCTTGAATTTACAGGGAAATGGCTAGCGTGCCAATCGATGGACAACCAAATCTTAATTTTTGGAGCACAGAATAGATTTAGATTAAATAAGAAAAAAATTTTTAAGGGCCATATGGTAGCAGGTTACGCTTGTCAGGTGGACTTTTCGCCAGACATGAGGTAAGTTTAAATCTCCTGTATTCTCATATTCAAATAATGATGATATGACCTACCGTTGTACAAGTAATAACACTTTAAAAATCACTCCCACATATGTAATTGTATGAGAACTGTGCAGATTGTCACAATGCCTGCTGGAAAGGCAAGAGCAAGCTATGAAAACTACATTTGGCTTTTTCAAGTTCTGTACTGTGTCTCCTTATACTGCTTGGTCCTGTGCCTTTAACCACATCATAAATGCCTATCTATAAGGCAGTGCCTTCTTGTCTCTCTGCTCTTCTAACAAGGCTAGCCAGACTGTGATCACTCTACTGCTGTAGATCGCTCTACAGCAGAATTAATTCTGTATCACAGTGTTGACATGAACAACATCACGGCAGCCTTTGTGTTGAGACCTCAAATCCAGCTCTTGGCTCTTTCTAGGCCGCACTGGATTTGCGGAGCCCAGGTGGAGCCTTTCTTGGAGTTAAACTCTGCACTCATTCCCCTATTGTCAGCTAAAATATATAGGTACAAGTAATTCTGAAGTCTCTGCAACCTTGTATGTTTAGGCTAGGAATTGACCCCTCTGAGTCAGTCTTAAACATTTTCAAAAGACGTTGAAGCCAGAAAATAACCATGAAGGTGGTCGAGTCTGACTCTGGTAGAACCGGTGTTCGCTGGCTCTGCGTGAAGCTCGTTTCCCTGCACTGTTTCTGTCTAGAGAGTGATTTAATACTCCATTTATTGTGGCCCCTGGGTTTCCATAGTTAATAAATTTCCAAGTGAATGAATTTTTAATTTATTAAATAACTTCCAAGTTAATAAATTTTGACTCATAGATTGGTAGCTCAATGGGGAGATTTTTTAAGTAGAAGTTTAAATTATAGACTACTTTATACTCTACCGTGTTATTCTGAGTATTGTATATTCATATTGACTTTTTTTTTTTTAATGTTACAGGGAAAAAGATGAACTCTTTCTCTGTTCCTTATCCACTTTAAGGTGTTTCAATAATTTGAACTTATTTTCCTTCCCATTCTAGCTATGTGATTTCAGGAGATGGAAATGGAAAATTGAATATCTGGGACTGGAAGACCACAAAACTCTACAGTCGATTTAAAGCTCATGATAAGGTGTGCATAGGTGCAGTGTGGCATCCTCATGAAACATCGAAAGTCATCACATGTGGTTGGGATGGTCTCATTAAATTGTGGGATTAATGAGATTAATCCTTATCTAGGGTCATTTTTGATCCAATATCATATTTAACTATATTTAATTATTAAATGTGTTAGATGACAACTTGATTTACAAATTATGATTTCCTTACATGGCCTTATGAAGTTGACCCATTGTTTAAAAAAAAAAACGTTTCTTGTAAATTTGTCTCCTATAATTTCATTGGCAATTTCATTTATAGATGTTATTTATACAGAGAATGACCACTGACTTTCCATTTGGTGAGGGTTATTGTTGGCAGGCAGTTGGGGTTTACCCTGTCGATATACTGAAAGGATCTCTCTCGAGTTGAGGAAGAATCCCTGGTGGATTTGGGATTTTAAAGGAGGTAATATAACTAATGACAAATAATTCTGAAAGGCACCATATGTGTACCTCTTCGACAAAAAGGGAAGTAAGGAACAGGGATGATATAATTTAATGTGAATGTGAAAGGATAAAACCACCCACAATTATTGTTCCCATTATTTTTGGTGGGTCAAGTTCAAATCTTTTGGATTCAGGAGTTCTGCTATTTTTTATGGCATATATTGTGTGTTTACTTGTAAGCCAGCAATCTTCTTTAACTGCAGATATTCCTCTAATTATTAAATGATGGAAAATAAACAGTCCAGAGTTCTTTCCTTGGCTTTCTTCCTGATCAGTACAGACAGGACTATATATATAATCAGAGAATTATGTTATTTTTGAAGGTGACACTCAAGAGGATGAGTGAAGACTTTGAATTTTATTTGTATTTACTGTCTGTAAGGACCTGGCTACACTTTCAGAAATCAGGGTCTCCTAGGTCATTGATTCATAGATGTTACTACTGAAATACTCCTCATAGGAGACAGGGTATGAGATCATCGTCCAAAATGTCACCTTGTCATTTCTTTGAAGTTGTATGTTTTATCTTCAAAATTATTCTGATCTTGCTCGTGGATATAGTCAACAGAACTTTTTAAGATCAGAAAAATGTTTAACTCCTTTCTACATCTTTGAGTAAAATTGCTACTCCAAGAAGATGGCTAAGGTTCCCCAGTTTGAGAAGCAATAACTGTGGTTGGTTGGTTTAAAAAAAAAAACTTTTAAGTTTCAAATTGTGGAATCAAGATAGCCTCTCGAATACAGTAGCTAATAGCCCTTTGGGTGACAAGCCATTTCTTCTGGTTTAGTACAAATCTCTATAATATATTTGTACTTTGAAATATTTCAGTACCACGCTTACAAAGAACGGTTCATCGTGGCTCAGAGTGCCGACGTGGAGACCAAAATCATGTTGAATGTGGATGTCCTAAGGGCATTAGCTCGGAGTCCTGGGCTATCAATAGCAATTCATGCTCCTTGTGCTTAGAACTTCCATTTTTAAAAAGTAATTTCTACAAAGACCTGGTATTGATGACCTGGTACTAGAGCCACACATAAATAAATCCCAAAGAAGAAAATGGAAAAAGAGAATAAAAATGGTAGACATGTTATTTTTGGACACACAGACACTCAGAGAAATAAGAATACACTGCCTGGCTGCTACACTGCCTTTCTGTATCTGCCAGGAAGGGTGGCTGCCATTCCTGAAGAGGAAGGAATTCACACAAGACCTTTTCTTCAGTCCCAAGCCACTGGTTTTAGCAAACGTGAATTACTGAAATGTGATGGGACAAAAAGAATTAATCCATACATTTAAACTTTGATCTTGTTCAGCATCAGTATTGTGTACGTCACAAATCATAATTTCTAAATCTGGGTTTATTTTATTGTGTTTTTGACTGTTTCTAAACTAAGTAACTGTATATAAAAGTTGTCTCTTTTTTAAAAAGATCGTATTTTTAAATAAAGCATTTTTGTAGAAAGTGTTATCAAAATTTTCATTCTTAGTTTTAAGGGTTAACTCTGTTGAGAGACAACAGATTAAACCATTTGCAGATTTTCATGGGTCATTTTTATCTTCTGGGGAGAAATGGTGCTTTAGAGGCGGGGATGGTATTTTAATATGGAACATTAGTGGGTTTATTCTAGTTACGTAACAAAAATACAGGGCAGCACGCTGAGAGCACACAGATTAAGTTTAACGCCTTCCATATTTATACACCTAGTGGTGACACTGAGTCATGACTGTACCTATTTCAGAGTACACAAATGAGTGCGGCTCTTGCCCAGCTTCAAAAAGCCTCAAGACCATCCATATGGTCGCTGAAATTAAGTGGTTACCTTCTGGCCCCTGCTCCTCACTGCGACCTTTTTATCACACCCAGGACAGATTTCCTCCCTAAAGGTTGGAATGAAAGTGATGCTATACTGAAAGTTTTAATCAAATGAACATTTAAATATTGAAGCACAAGCTGGGAATGTTTTGCCCTAAGGAGACACTCTGAAGATAAAGGACAGGGAATAGCGTCAGACAGGCGCTTCCCTAGGTAAAAAAGTATAGTGATTCTTGACGATGCACAGTGAGGGTGCCTGATGTCCTTAGCACGTTTATAAATTACCGGGAGGAAAACAAGAACAGTGAAATCTTAAACCCTTGGATGATAGCCATAAGGACTGCCACACTTCGTGGGTTACGGAGGCTCTCCTTGGAAAAAAGTGTTTCTCAGAGGGACTGAGGACCAGCTGTATCAGAATCACGTGGAGATGGTGTTGCTCACCGAGATACAGAAAAGAAAATGGAGGTTCGTTGGAGGAGCCAGTGAACATATATATTTCTGTGTTCATTCATATATTCGTATTTTTGTATCCATATATATATATATATATATATATATCCTTCACTGGATCAAATTCAGCACTTGTAGTAAGGTCCCCAGTTGATAGGCAGGTACACTGAGAATGAGAAACACTGATGTAGAGTCTATCTTGAGCCTCATTTCAGAAACATGTAAACTCAAGATAAATTTTGCTAACCAAAAACAAATACATGTGTGTGCATGCGTGTTTGTGTATATATGCATGTGTGTGTGTGATTATATGTATAGATATACATTATCTGTATTTCTATGTGTACTTTCCATGTTCATAATCACTATAATAATTGTAGGAACCACTTTCTCAACCTAAACACCACAATTTTATCTGGAACTTAAGGGAAAAGAAGGCACAATTTGCAGCCAGAGTCCTTAGAGTGGCTTTATTTTTAGCGACAAAGAAAGATAATTCCTTTGCTGGTACAGCTTCCTGTAACTGCAGTCACAAAGTTCAGATGAATTTTTTTTTAGCTCTCCACAACCTACTCTCCACCCTTCAGCATTTGAGATCTGAGGGACTAACTCAAATCTCAAGCATATTTTAAGTACATGTCCCAGTATCATGCTGTTGAATAGAAAAATGTGAGCTGTGTAATTTTTTTTCATGTGTGTCATTTTTAATTTTCTCCCATCCAAGTACTAACCAGGCCCGACCCTGCTTAGCTTCCGAGATCAGACGAGATTGGGCGCGTTCAGGGTGGTATGGCCGTAGACTTTAACTTTCTAATGTAATGGTCACATTTAAAAAAAAAAAAAAACAAAAAAAAAACCCAGGGGTGAGGCACCTGGGTGGCTCAGTCGGTTAAGCATCCAACTTCGGCTCAAGTCATGATCTCACGGTTTGTGAGTTCAAGCCCCATGCCAGGCTCTGTGCTGACAGCTCAGAGCCTGGAGCCTGCTTTGGGTTCCGTCTCCTCTCTCTGCCCCTCTCCACTTGTGCCCTGTCTCTCAAAAATAAATAAATGTAAAAAAAGAAAAAGGTTAAAAAAAAGCCCAGGGGATGTTAATTTTAATATTTTAGTTAAGATAACATATCCAAGGTATTACTTCAACATTCAATTATTTTTTAAATATTTACTTTTCTCATACTAAGTCTTTGAAATCTGGTGTATATTTTACACTTAACAGCACATCTCCATTCAGACCCTAAACATCCATGAAATATTCCACCTCTTTTATACCAAGTCGATTTACATGCCCAAGTTGTTGCAAAGAGAGTCTTCTAATAACTGAATCAGGTATAAGTTTTTAAATTTAAGTGGATTAAAAGTAAATACAATGTAAAACTCAGTTCCTCAGTCACAATAGCCACATTCTAAGTGCTCAATAGCAAAATGTGACTAATGGCTGCCATACTGCACGTACAGGCCTCGCAGCACGTTTTACGTGGTTCAAATGTTCAACTTTACTGCTTCATCTTCTAAGGTTCAAACTACCCAAGAAAATGTTAAGAATGTGCATGTTTATACTTTTCTGTGCTACATTTTGGGCAGTTTCCTCCAGTTCACTTGGAGGTCTCTTCACCTGTGTCTAATCTGCCACTTAATCCGTTAAATGTATTCCAATGACTTTCCCTTGATGGAAGGTCTATTTGTATAGTCTTTCACGCCTATAATCATTTTAAACAATTTGTATTTTCTTTAAGATTTGCTATGTCAAGTTCTTAGGCTAAAAATCCCAGTGTTTCTTGTGTCTGTCAACTCTACCTCATGGTGGGCCATTTCTTTGTCACTTGTAACTTTGTGTTAGGAATGCATCTCCTGTGCGTCTTGTTTTGTTTTTCATTTTGTTTTATAAGAAAGCCTTTGTAGTCTGAGTTGAAGCAGTCCCTTCGCAGTGGTGTTACATTTGCTTCTGCCATCTACCCTCACCCTCACTCCCTCAGTTTTTTACCTCAGTTTCTCACCTTATGGTTTTCCTCACCATGAGATTAATATAAATTCAATTCCTTAAAACGGCCAGGGGCTTCAAATTCTCATGGGAAACTTTGATTTCCTCCTAGAGCTACAGCAAGGATAAAGCTTTCTTGTGGTGTGGGGGTGAGAGGGGTGGGTTTTTAGGACTCTTCCTTTGAGGAAGGAAGACACCCACTGCTGCAGGTGTCTCCAGGACAATCCTTTCCCCCAACACAGCCTTATGTCCAGTGCTGTAGGCCTCTAGCATCACTGATACACTCAACTCCTAGCACTAATGCAGGAGGTACAGGTTCCTGCTCTGTCAGGGTCCAGGCTCCCTCTGAGCTTCGTGTGTCTGAAGATTTTTCTTTCTCAGGAATTCATCCATACGTATAAAGGTATATGTCTATACATTTGTGTTGTGTGTGTACAAAAGGTAACACATTCACACATGTACACACAAAAGGATCACCATAGATACATACATACTTAACCTAGCATCTTCAGATATTGCCACTTTTTTAGCACATTCTCGAAACAAAAGGATAAACCAGTGCAGTCTGAGACCTGGTTTTTAGAACCAGGTGAGTTTAAGTGTGTTATCCAAAAAGGTACTTTGCCTAAGGGGACTTCATTTGATTGGAGAGCCATCAGAACAGAGTCCCCTATTATCTGGGCCTTTTTTTTTTTTTTTATGTTTATTTATTTTGAGGGAGAGAGACAGAGTGCGAGCAGGGGAGGGGCAGAGAGAGAGGGAGACAGAGTCCCAAGAAGGCTCCAGACTCTGAGCTGTCAGCACAGAGCCTGACGTGGGGCTGGAATTCACCAACCACGAAATCACAACCTGAGCCGAAGTCGGACACTTAACCAACTGAGCCACCCGGGTGCCCCGGCCTTTTCTTCTGAATAGCACATCATTTAGATCCTTCTGAATTTATCCCAAGGCTTCCCTTTATAGCGCACAAATCAAGAAATTATCCTACCACTGTCTAAGCCTTCCCTAATCACAAAAACCTTAGAATAACGAGATCATCAAGGTAGGAGAAACCTTAGAAATCAAATATTCCAACCTAACATAAGAAAACAGGCCAATAAAGGTGATGATTTGTTTAATACCACATAGCTAGTTACCCACAGCATCAAAATCTGTCTCCTTTCATCCTACTATTCTGCCACCTTTACATAATGCAACTTTCTTGTGTATTTTTTAAATCTCAGATTTGCAGCATAATCTTTGCGGCTTCCAGCTTGCTCTCTCCGAGGTAATTTAAAAGAAACACTCAGTTACCCAGACTATGTGTGTTTCCTTCTTCAGTAAAACAGAACCTAGCTAAAGACGTTCTCTTGGCCTCTTCCATTAGAGTCGGGCTCCCATCACTTTCTCACAACTGTGCCCACAGCAACATTGCTAGTTTTACAAAGCATTGGTTTTAATGAGAACTAGCATTTTTTCCATATAGTGCTAAACACGAAGTATGGCACTAGCTTGCTTGATTTATTTTCCTTAAGGACAGAAATATAATTATGTAAAGAATTTCTATAAGATCTAAATGTAGGCAGTTGAATACGTTGAATCTTTGGGTTCCGATTTCATGTGATAAGTAACTACAAATACCTCTCTCAATCAGAAAAAGACTTTTTTACACAGGGTTAAGTGTATTTATGAACTCACAAAGAATCAGCAATTGGCTAATACAAAAAGAATTACATTATTGCTTAAAAGGCAAAAACATAAACTTACCTCTAGCAGAAGTGAACAAGTATATTAATTGAGCTGGGAGGTACTATTGTCAAAATAAAATAATCTGTTTTAATGAGGGCTTCATTTTTAATCTGACAAAATATGATGATGAGGGGGGTTCCCCGGTATGAATCCAAGCTTTGCAAAATCCAAACATGTAATACTGCAGAAATACAAACCTTGTGCCATATTTACTATACCTAAAATCGTATAGCCAAGGCAGAAATGGCTTACACAAATAGCTAATTGGACTAAACACTGTAAATTCATGAGTTTGCAGTTACTTTTGTTCTACTTTTGTTCTACCCTGATGTAAACTCTAACAGATGTTCAACAAACAACTTCTCCCTGGCTGCCTTCATTTGAACGTATCAAATAGTTACAAATGTTTATAGCATAACCTGTGATCGCTGCATCAAATACAATCACTCTAAGAGAAAAGGGAAATTCTTTTTTCTTTGACTTTAATTTCAACTTGTGGCACAGCTTGTGCTAAAAGGGGACCTCTGAATCTCTGACACACTGTGTCTTTCACCTAAAAAAATAACAGATTTGTCATCATTTGAAGACCAATGTTAAATTGTATTTTCAGATCCATCTATGAGCGTTGCTCTGTTAAGAATAAGCTCATGTATGTGCAGGTCAAAGACTAAACAAAGGAAACACTGAACTTCCAAGTGACTGTGCCCTTTCTAAACCCATGAGGAAAGTACCACACAGTGGGATGAGCCAGGGCCAAGAGCGGCTTCCAGGCCTTGCAAGAGCTTTTCTGGCAACTGAAATACTGACCGAGGGGTTGCTGGGTCCCCATATTCTTTCACTGAGCCTCCATCTGGCAGGCATATTTTAATCAAGTAGATTGTTTAAAAAAAAATTTTTTTTTTTTACATTTAGTTTTGAGACACAGAGAGAGACAGAGCATGAGCGGGGGAGGGGCAGAGAGAGGGAGACACAGAATCCGAAGCAGGCTCCAGGCTCCGAGCTGTCAGCACACAGCCCGATGCGCAGCTCGAACTCACTAACCGTGAGATCATGACCTGAGCCGAAGTCGGATGCTCAACCGACTGAGCCACCCAGGCGCCCCGCAAGTAGGTTGTTTAAATTAAACCTGCATGCTACAAAAATGTCCCAACGCTAACAGATTTGCAGGTCTGATCTTAGTATATTTGTGGTTCTCTCCCTCCCCCGCACACACACACACACCCACACACACCCCATTTACTAATAAGGAAGCAAAAATACATCCATGGGAGTAGCATCTTACATCTGTTAGAGGCTATTGAGGTGGCATTGTGGAGGGAAGGGGGCCAGCACAGGCTCCGGATCTGAAAGGCTCAGATGTGGATTCCTGCTCTACCATCATCCACTAGTGGCATGTTCTGGAAAAGCTATCTAATCTCTCAGAATTCCCTTAGCAGTATAACTGGGAAAATTACACTTCCTGGCAGGGTTGCTGGGAGAATCAGGGGCAATCTCTGCCCAGTGCTGGACACACGCTAAGCTCTCAATAGCAGCTCCTGACTTCATCTGTTCTCTGTGTTTTGTTTGTGCTGCCTTTGTAGTGGTTACAGTGGTGCTGGTTCTCATTTTTCCTGCTCTTCTCAAACAGGAGCTTCCCAAACAGCAGTCCTGTGGTACCCCAGACCCTGTCTCATGGCCCACACCAGTATTTCTCCGCGGCAGATGATTTTGCCGCTAGGGGATATTTGCCACTGTCTGGAGACATGTGTGGTTGTCACAACTGAGGGAGCAGAGGGAGAGATGCTCCTGGTATTGAGTGGGGCCACGGATGCTGCTGAACATTCTACAATGCACAGAACAGCCCTCCCTCCCCCAATAAGGAATTAGCCAACCCCAAATGGCAATCCGTGCTGAGGTTAAGAAACCCCAGCCTACACAATAAGCATAACAAATTTTAGAGGCAGGGAAACCATAGCAACAGTCAGAATACTCATCATAAATTTCAAACTATCCATGAAGGGAATGAAGGACAGCCTTAGAAATAAGCATAAAACAAGTACAAATAACTATTGAACAAGCTGCCTAGTAGGTGGGTGTGGGTGGGTGTGTTTGTGATTTATTTTGAGTGGTTTTTCTCCTTAACAGTACAGCCATTCTTACCTCAGATATATATATAATGTAATGAAGTCAACGTTCTGCACCACCAATCTGGACTAAGTGGTAACCTGCCCTGTACAAAGGGGGCTTTCAGTAATTCCTTAAATCTTCAATCTGATGAATTAAAAATCTTAATATGGGTGTGTACATATCTAAAACCTGATCAGCCTGGACACATAGGATTAGTACATTTCACACTTTAGTGTAAAAGAAGGTTTAAAAAAGGTTTAATGTAAAAAGTAGGTTTATTGTACATACTTCAGTGTGGAAAATTTTAATTAAAAAATAAAAGAGATAATCTGTGATATAATCCAAACAGGAACTAGGCTGAAGTTAACCTTGTTTTGGAGACAACACCATGCAAACTGAGAGTTACGCCACTTTGTGCTTTTGAAATACCTATGGTCTTGAGGGCAACTTAACTGCTATTTTTTTTTATTTTTATTTTTTTAGAGAGAGAGAGGGGAGGAGGGAGAGAGAGAGAGGGAGACCCAGAATCTGAAGCAGGCTCCAAGCTCCGAGCTGTCAGCACACAGCCCAATGCAGGGCTTGAACTCACGAACTACAAGATCATGACCTGAACCAAAGTCGCACACTTAACCGACTGAGCCACTCGGGCACTCCTAACTGCTACTTTAAATCACACTTATTCAAGCTGGTCTTCCCACCTCAATGAATTTTATTAGTGTACTATGAGTTTTAAAATAAAAACCTCATTTGTATTTTTCAAAATCATCACTACTAATTCAGAAAATCTTGTTCCCTTTTGAACTGAAGTTAGTAAGATTATCTAGCTAATATATCTTGGTTTCTCACTTGAGGAACGGTATTTTCAAACCACTGCAAGAAACAAAAAGCCAACACAGGGAACATCTGGAGTAAAAGGAGGTAAAAAGTGGGAAAAAGGAATAAAGACTAGTAGCAATCAGTATTTTACTCACTCCCTAGATTTCTTGAACAAACAATGGACACAAAATTTTCCTGCTCTCTCAGGATGTAAAAATGCCAGGAAATAAACTTAACTTATAATAAGGTAATAATTTGCTTTATTTTATACCATTTAACTTATTTGAAGTAGAATTTTTGAAAATCATTCGTAGGGATAAATGTCTAATCCTATAAATAAAAATGATAGAGATCATTTGAACTACTGAGAACCTACACTTTTCTGTTTAATATTTAAAAATGTAAAAAAGATTGGCACTACTGAAATACTGCATAACCATCCCAGGGAAGATACAGATTTTGGCTCTCAGGCCACAGTCTTGTAATGAATGCCAACTGGCAGTTACGAAAAACTCCCTTAATCTTTCAGATCATGTATTAAAACAAAAAAAAAAATATTTGACAGCGTAGGCAAGTCGGTGGTTGAGAAATCAGGTCTGAAGTCAGAAAAGGCAACAGTAAAGACACGCAAATTCTGCTTTGTGCTTAGTTTCATAGGAACAGAAGGGGATTTAAGGCTGAGTCTGAAGGAATCCTGAGTTGAAGTTCTTGATGTTCTAGTCTTTGAAACTCAAAGACAGAATTTGGTGTGCCTGAGTTCCCAGAAACCAGCATCAGTGGCTCTTACAACCCCACAGCAGAGCCCTCGGCAAAAGGCAAGTAGGAATGATTGAAATCTACAAGGTTGTAAACAATGTTATTGACCAAGGTGAACAGAAAAAAACCTTTGAGTGAAAGTCAAAGGAAAGGCTCTGTTTTGAACAGTAAGCTACAAACTTAATCTCAGGAATGCAGTAAGAATGGAAAATTTATGTAATTTCTTCTTCATGTTGCTGAATTCATGGACTTCAGACACAAAACGAATTTTAGGGAAAACAGACATGTGGGGGATTATCTTCCATGTTAAAAAGAAGGAGGACAAGCGTCCCCACTCTGTCAGAGGCAAACAGGTGAAAGGCCTAGCATCTGGGCAGATGGAGGTTGACTCCCATGGCCCTCTGTGTCCATCCCTTCCCCGAGTGTTAACTGTGCCCCTAGCACGTGGCAGGTGCCAAGCTACATGCACTACAGAGGCAATAACACAACCCCCGCCTCAAGCAGGTAACAGGCTAGTGGAGACTGGACAAGGACACCGATAATTAGACTGCTGGACACGCCTCACGCTGTAATTATTTCCTTGAGTTCTTGATGAGGTCTTTCATCCTATTTCCATCTTGTATTCACCCAACTCAGAGTATAACAGCTACTTGCATTGAAAATATCTTTCTTCAGGAACAGCTGAGGTTTAGATAAATCTTTGTAACTATGAAAAAGCCTGAAACCCTTTAGTTCTAACTCTTTGAGGAGGCTGTACCAGAACCTCACGACACTGCTGTCCCGGCCACTGACCTCAAACCCGGGCCAGTGGAGATGAACCTCAAAGGTGAGCTGTCCAATTTGTTCAAGGACATCTTCCAGAATAAGATTTTCTAAAACTTTCCATTCTGCGCTTTCCAGATCTGCTTTGAGAACATCAATCTGTAACAAAATGATGAAATGAGATTAGCAGATTCAATAAGCGTTGTTAAAAATACCATCTTGACATCAGGAGCATCACCGTATAACTACCTCCTACGAAAGCAGAATGTTTCAAATTTTAGAGTTAGACAGCTTTTTCAAATGGCCACTGACAACATGAATTTCTTTTCTTTTAAATGTTTTTTTGTGCGTTTTTTTAAAACGTTTGGTTTTTTTGAGAGAGAGCACGAGTGGCGGAAGGGCAGAGAGAGAGAGACAGAGACAAAGGATCTGAAGCAGGCTCTGATCTGACAGCACAGAGCCTCACGTAGGCCTCAAACTCATGAACTGTGAGATTAGGACCTGAGCTGAAGTCTGCTGCTTAACCAGCTGAGCCACCCAGGCGCCCGCAACATGAATTTTTAACCTCACTCCACACTAAATGTTAATATACAAATAATGAAATGCCAGCCAGAAATCATAACGAACCGTCCTACCTTCTGCCTAATGAGAATGGATGCCTGAGAAGGAGACGCTGGAGCATGTGTTTTCACAGAACTGCATGCCCATGGCCCCTCCCCAACAACCTAGACCCTGCTCACAGGAACCCAGCCATGGTCCAGACAGAATGGTGGCCCACCGGGAGGGACTGGCAGAGGGCCACTGCCTGCAAGACTGCCTCACGAACCTCAGCTCCCTCCAATTTCTCAGGACTAGTAGCCAGGCAGAGTTCTCAGGTATCTGAATGTTAGACTTGTAAAAAAAAAAAAAAAAAATAAAAAAAAAAATCTATTATTATTCCATGATTTCTTTTTCTTTTTTTAAAAAATTTTTTTCAACGTTTATTTATTTTTGGGACAGAGAGAGACAGAGCATGAACAGGGGAGGGGCAGAGAGAGAGAGGGAGACACAGAATCGGAAACAGGCTCCAGGCTCTGAGCCATCAGCCCAGAGCCCGACGCGGGGCTCGAACTCACGGACCGTGAGATCGTGACCTGGCTGAAGTCGGGCGCTTAACCGACTGCGCCACCCAGGCGCCCCAATGATTTCTTTTTCAAAGTAAACACCAGCACAGCATTTTAAAAGGGGGCGGGGAAGGGGGAGGCAACACCATCCTCTGTTCATCTAATGAATGGAAGTTCACATTCCAGGGAAGATGAAATATAGGAAGAGTAGGAAAGGATAGGAAAGATGCTGCAATTCATTAAGTCAGGAGAATCAGCTCAGTTTCGCTGGCTTTGCTATTAGAATAACAGAACCCCAAATACCTCCAGAAAGCAGTGAGAGCTAACGACTTGCTGAGTGCTTATATGCGCCTGGCACTACGCATAGTGCTTCGCTTGCAACGTCCATTTACTCCTCTCAACGATTCTGCAAGGGTGACACTGTTTCCATCCCTGTTTGAAGTTTAGGAAACCCAGACTCAGAGAACAACCCATCCCCCATCACACAGCCTGAGAGGCAGTAGTGACAGGTGAACTGAGTCTGTCTACCTGGAGCACGTTCTTAACCACTTATGCGATGCCGACTCCTCGTAAACCACAAGGGGGAAAATGGTAGCTCAGATTCCCTCGACGGCTTTCGGTGTGGAAACCAGGTTGCTATTAGAGAGTGAATAAGGGTCAGCGAGTAGAAGCAGTATTACCAACATCCCCAGTTTAGAGTTGCAGAACACGTTACAGCTTAAAGAATTACTCTCTACAGGTGCAATCTCAGTGAAACAGCCCTAGAGGCAGAGACTTGGTAGAAATGACTCTGGGCTGCCAACACTGCTTGTGTGATTTCAGAGTTGGGTGGAGGAGAAGATACAGAGGATTTAGACATTACTGCTCCAGGAAAATGGTCTTGGCCCAGCAGCATCCTGAGATCCCAGGGGAGATGCTTTTGCCACTGTCTTGCTTTGGACAGTACCTCATGATCCACCCGGGAAAGAGAGATGGCAATACCCCAAGAATACCAAGAGGCCTTAGAATAGCCCAGATATCTGGAAGCCAGCCTGTCCAGACTCAAAGAGGAAAAAGCAACATGGAAAAACAAAACACAAAACAACTTTCTTTTCTGAAAGGAACCGACTAAAGGCAGATTCCAGAAGAGCGTGCACAAGGGCTAAGATAATTCCTGTGAACTGGACACAACAGAATTAATTCACTCTTTTCTCATCTTGCTGCCCTCCCACCTTTTTGACTTGTTTGATCTTTGAGACTTTAAGCAGAATATTTCTGAATTAGGGTAATTAAACTGCCAGAAGAAATATAGAATTAAAACTTCACAAAATGTTCTCAATTAGTACAGAAAGTATCCCAAACTCAAAATCAACACTTTGTGGCAATTCACATAGTTAAGAATTTTTTTTAAATCCTTAGAGCCTTATTTCTTACCATAGTTTTCTATGAATTTGCACATATCGAACGTGATCAATAAAACAAACTACTAAAGGGACAGGGCAAAGTTAATCAGCCTAAAATTGACCTAAAAACTACACTGGTGAAGACAGAGGCATATACATTACATATTTTTTTCCAAACATTTTTTTAAAATAAGCTATCAATCAGAAGTTATGAGAAACACACAAAGAAAAACCAAATTGGGATACATCACTGCAAATATGTGCTTTCTGTGGAAATCCAATTTTCACTTACAAAATGCTATCCTATCTAAAGTGCGAAAAGCATTTTCAAATACAACAACACTGCCAACCTCTTTTGATTCCAGTGACTGAAACTTCTCTACTTCAATCAGAATTGGGCAGGCTGCTCTAAATCATCCGGCCCAGGCTGGTGCAGCACTGAGCAGCTCATAAACTCTTCCCTGCCTTCCAGTCTGAGAGCATAGCCAGACAAATGCTGTGAATAAAACATGGTTTTCTTTTCCTGCGTGCTTTTCTTTTTTTTTTTTTTTTTTTGTCTAACAGAACGTTCTATCGCCACAGCGATCTTGCAAATGTAATTTCCACTGTTCCTTCATAATGCACCCAGTGTTACCGTTAGTCTAAGGCACTAAACGTTTCCGCACCAGGTATGTTACTTTTCAGATGCTAACATCAGCTCTCAACAATTAAGGCACGAAAAGTCATGCAAATGATTACATTGGAATAACTGAGTGCCAATCCTAATACAGTTAGGTTAACTCAGCTTTCTTGAGAGAAACAACTCAGTGTTAACCCTCCGTAAACTCTGGGATAACTAAAGACATATTCTTGGGTAGAAAGGTCTTGAAGAAGGTAGATCAAACCACGTATCTAGCATCATTTCAGAGGCATTAAAGGGGTCCTCTTACCAAAAATCATCTCCTTTCCCTTGTGCCTGAAAGATCCAATAAATCTCCTTTCCCAGAACTTTCTGAGGAAACGAGAACTTTCATTTTAAGTGGATTAAGATGTGAGGCCATTTTGGCAGCTTCCTCGTCATGGGCACAAGTTGATGGCTGCATTCATCCACCCAGAACTGCAGGGATGAGGGAAAGTGGGGAAAGGGGCCCCTAGTACCAGCCTCTGTACTAGCTTGTTGGGGCTGCTAGAAAAAAGTACCACAGGGGCACCTGGGTGGCTCAGTCCATCAAGCGTCTGACTCGATTGCGGTTCAGGTCATTATCTCACGGTTCGTGAGTCCGTGAGTCAGGCTCTGTGCTGTCAGCATGGAGCCTGCTTGGGATTCTCTCTCTCCCTCTCTCTCTGCCCCTGTTCCGTGCTCTCTCCTAGCTCCTAGTGGTTTGCTGGCAGTCTTTGGCGTTCCTTGGCTTCTGCGTTACTCTGATCTATTTCTTCATCTTCCCATTGTGTTATTTCTTCTTTTACGTGTTGCCTGTGTCCAAATTTCCCCTCTTTATAAGGTCGCCAGTCATACTGGATTAGGGGCCCACCCTTCAGCAGTATGGCCTCATTTCAGCTAATTATGTCTGCAATGACCCTATTTCCAGTTAAGTTCATATTCTGAGGTACTAGGGGTTAGGACTCCAACATATGAATTTTGAGGTCATGCAATTCAAAGTACTACAGTGTTTAGGGGAGCTATCATCATACAGCTTTGGGAAGACACTATGTGTTCTGGAGCCAATTCCGCAGTCAATGCCTGGAGAAAGTGTCCCGTACCAGAGGTCCAAGGGCCAGCAGCTCTCTGAGGCAATTATGGATGCTGTCCTGCTAGCTCCTACATCAGCCAGCCCTGACAGTTACAACTTTGCAATATCCAGGGCAGGTCAACAGGGCTCCGAGGCCAATTGAAACCACCATCATGAAACCCCTGTGCTTCATTCCTGGTTCCTTCCTGGCCACAAGACCAGGGCCAGCTGGTGCACTTTGTCCTTGACATCCCCCCATTCCCTAGCCACTTCCCTCTCCATCCTGGAACTCTGCAGGCGCTCAACATCTTCATGCCTGCAGCTCCCCACCTGAGCCTTCTCCCTTTCCCAGGTACTCCCAGCAGGATAGGCAGACTGCATTACACAGTGCAACACCTTTAAAGAACTAGGGCTGGGATTCACCAACATCACTTCCATTGCATTCTGTCGGTCAAAGCAAATCATAGGGCCAGCCCAGACTCAAGGGGAGGTGAGAAAGATTCCAGCCCTTGAGGGCAATAGTGGCATACACAGAAAGGGTGAAACGAACCGTTCATGGTCATGTCTGCAAATAATTGGCCCAGTTAATAAAAGCAATCTTCAAATGTACATACAAATCCATGAATGATCTACAGTATTAGAGTAGACATGAACCTTTGCTGGACATAAGCAATACTCCAGGAAAAATAATGAAGCCCTTAGTCATCAAAATATTATTAAAGAAGGGACATCAATTGAAACGTGGCATTTGCTATCAGATCTGGCTTTCCTTGGAAGCTGACAAAGAACTGGGACAGCCAATGGATTAAGGATGACTAATAAGAAAACACAAGGACAAGTAAAGCAAATAGGTAAAAATCTTAGATACTGTATTAGTGTACCCAGGATGCTATAACAAAATGCCAGAGAACGGGGGGCTTAAACAACAGACATTTATATTTTCTCACAGGTCTGGAGGCTGGGAA